TCTTCAGATACAATTTTTTCTAACAGGTTTACAGGGAGATAGTTTGCCACTGAGATGTAACTGTACACAAAACAAAACAAAAACAAACATTGTATGATAAAAAAGTAATCTTTTGCATTTTTGTGTTTACATTTGGGTATATATGGATGAAAAATTACAAAATGTGATCAACATAATGTGACCATATATTAATTCATGAAATAAAACATTTCAATTTGACAAAAATTTATTAGCTCTGCGGAGCTTTTCATATAGATGATTGTCCGCCATCATCCGTGAGTCAACAATTACATTTCCATCTTTTTGAAAACTACCAGCTCAATTGCTTTGATACTTGGTATGTAGGTACCTTGGGTGGTCCTCAGATTTGTTCACTTAATGGCAATATCTTCAATTCCCTATTTTTAGCGAATATTTTTGTCATTTTTGGTAAAAAATGATATTTCCAAAAGTTTTGATATTTGATATTGATATTTTTGAAAACTACCAGCTCAATTGCTTTGATACCTGGTATGTAGGTACCATTGGTGGTCCTTTGTCAGATTTGTTTATTTTGTGGTGATATCTGCAATTCTATATTTTTAGCAAATATTTTTGTCATTTTTGATCAAAAATGTTATTGTTGACTTCTTCTTGAAAACCGCTACTCCAATTATTTTGATAAATGTTTACCTTGGATGGCTTTCTATTAGATTAGTTTCTTCTGTGCATTAAAGTGTAACTGAATTGGGACAATTGACCTTTTTTTGTGTGCAAAATTTATTTATAAACAACATTATGATAAAATTAGTTAAACTTTAAAGGAAAATTGAAGGATTTGCTGAAACAGTGAACTATTTTGATTGTCAGGTCACTTGTTAGTATTGTTATTAATCCTTGAGATGTTTTCTAGCCATTTTTGGTACATGTATAACATGTTTAACATTTTATGCTTTTTTCTAAGAATTTTATTAATAAATTTGGATCAAATGAACTGGATTTTCAACTGGCTACAGTACTTGTTACACATTTCAGAAAAAAAAAATTGCCGCAAAAACAAATCTTGTGGCTTTTTCGCTCTCAATGGGATTTTAGCGGCCATTTGTATCAATTTTATTCAAAGCTGCTCCCTCAAATGTTTCTTGCAATTTACACATACATTTACTGTCTGTAAAGCGTTTAATTTCACTATTAAAAAATTGTCAATTCATGTGATCCCACACTCGGCGTTTTCACAGAAACAAAATGTTCACTGACGCATGAAATTAAAGCAGGTTACCGAATTCAAATCATCATCTAATAGTTTTAAATAACAGTAAGGTAAATAAATTATCATCTGAGAAAGCAAATTAAAAAGTTCCATACATTTCTCAAATTCATCGTTCTAAGAGTCTTAACATGAAAGAATAACCTACTGAATAAAGAACTGTTATAATATTATAAAAGAAATTAACTCAGAAATAATATATAACATTTATTTTTTAATACCATGATAACGTACCTAACATGATTCTGGAATCCAACTAAAAGATCTCCTCTGTCATTAGCAAAGCACACTCCGCGCACAGTATGATCCAAACACAGCTCACGAACTAACTGATTATCAGTGTCCCATATCTGCCAGTAAAAAAAAAATAGTAGCATGTTAATAACTCCTCTAATAAGCCTAAAACTAAAACATTTTTTGGCAATTTGTTTTTAAAATCAATGCATGCCCTCAATTTCTATTTTCAAATTGCTTTTCTTTATATTTTTTACCAAAAATTAATTTTTCCTACACTTTTTTTTTTAATTCTGAGAAAATAGCTGAGAGGCCCATTTTAGCTGCATGACCAAGAAAAAAACAACACTTTTTTTAGCCTAAAAACTATATATAAAGGTCTGATGTTACTTTTTCAAAAAAAAAGGTAAAAATTCACCCACAACTCACCCCTCAGGAGAACCAAGTAATGGTAATAGTGATAAAATCACAGACGCTTGGAAACAACTTTCTTGTTAGTAGAGTGTATGTGCAAGTCATAAACTATAACTTTAATTCTAAAATCAGAAGTGTGACAGATATTTCTACTAGTAATTAAATTTGTAATAATTTGTTACTTTGTTGAAGTGCTCTTAATTTGTAAAAATTTCAGCTTGTTTTTTTAAAAATGTTCTGGATTTGGATTCCTGTTTCAAACAAACATTATAACTGGTGATATAATAATGACAGCAAAACAGACAATCTTAAGAGTGAAGCGGTATGGAATGGATTCCAACACCGAAAAGATTCATAGTAAAAATACAGGAAATATTCACAATATAGGTATTTTTGTATCTTTACTCATTTTCAGAAATTCGCAAGGGGAAAGTGTTTTCGGTTTCTTGCCCTGTGTACGACAACTCTCATTGAGTGAAAGACAAGAACTAGTCATTCAGTTCCGTGTAAAAACATACAGACCAGTTGTAATAAATTGTTGATATACTGTAGAATACTTTTTTTTCGCTTGGAATTTATTTTCACGATTTTTGCTGAAGGGTTGATTCTGTGAAAATAAAATCCAGCGAATGTACTTTTTTTCCTATATTTCACATTAAACTCCATCAAAAATCAGTGAAAATAAATTCCATATAAAACGCCCAAAAAGCCTTCAGCGAAAATTAATTCCAGCGAAAATAAAGTATTCGACAGTACTTCCAAACTTACTTTAATGGAACCGTCACAGCTTGTAGTGGCAAATAACCGCAGTCTAGAACAGCAACATATCGCAGTTATCTGCAAATAAAAACAAAATAAACAGGTTTTAATCATATTTTAAGATTTCTTTCCGTTCTTTGTAACATGAAAAACAATAATCCTTGTTCACGTACGTACCAATATCTACCACTTACTTTATGAACAGCCTAAATTCTGTATTGCTTGAGACTTAAATTCACTAAGTTAGGAGGTCAATATACAGATTTTAATACCCCTTAACTGTACATTGATTTACATAGAAGTTTACATGCATTCCACTAGCAGTCAGAAAAAAACTCACCATGCTTAATACTGGTTGATTAACTCTTTTAATGTCCACTTTCATCTCCATAAAGCCTAACAAATTTGTTCTAAGACTATACACCTATGTGTCTGCGTTATAAATTCAATATTTTGTCAACAATTTTGATAAAGATTGGTAGGTTTAGAAAATTAGGTCCATTTTGTTCAAAATTAACAAAAGAAATGTTGTTAATTGAAATGAAAATTTTTCTGATTTGTAATATTGCCCCTTTTTTTCCATAACTTTTTCTATTTATTCATTTATATACATATTGCTATTAAACGATAAAAATTGTATTTCTGAGGATACAATAAAGATATCATTATTATTATTATATATAATATAGAAAAATATAAGAAAATGTGAAAATGTGAAAATTATTTTGTTGCATCAACATTCCAGTAAGATTTATAATGGAGGTCAAAAGTTGAAGGTTTCATATAAATGTACATTCATAAAGGCATACAATTAATTTCAACCTGACTTGCGTACCAAACAATAAATTCATCAGGATCAAGTAATTGAGAGTGGTTAAACCAAATAATGGCAACCCAGGGGAGAAGAAATAAGGTCAAACCATGAGAGAATTGACAAAGTTATTGTGGTTTTTATACAAAATCTGACTGAGAAGCTTGAATTTGTTTTATCGCTTTGTTCCCGATTTCAGCCACAGTGTGAAAGTTGGCTGAATAAAAGAGGATACATTTCTTTTGATGTGAAACGCAGCAGAAATTTAATCATGGTATATACAGTATTTAGTATCTAGTTCATTGTGGTGTCTTTTAGAAGTTAACCATCTCACCGATCAACAAAATTAGAATTTATTTGAACCCAGTTGCTCAAAACTTACTTCACAATGACTTAAGGATTCATCAGTTAACTCAAACTTATATCAGTCAAGTTGCTATGACAACACTAATAAAAGTGAAGAATTTTTGCAAAAGAACAGATACCACACAATGTGCAGTCAAACCTTTATAAATATGGTCTTATATAAACAGGTGGTCTTTATATAAAGGTTAATTGTATTTTATTAATTGCCAATTCTTAACATACTATTTGCCTAGAAATAAGCACATGGTACTGTTAAA